TGCCACAGGGCACTGGTCTGCAGCAGTGTAGGGGTTAAGTGAAAACTTCCGTATCACCCTCTGAAAGTCACTGACAAGAGGCAGATTAAAAGGAAGAAAGGCATACAAATTTATTTGATCATAGTTTTAGGTGACATGGGAGCCATCAGAACGATGACCAAAAGATACAGGGGAAAGTGTACTTTATTGATTGGTTGATTGTTTTAGAGCCAGGCTGCAGTGAAGTGGTGTGATCATGGCTCACTGCAGCCTCCAACTCCTGGGCTCAAGCAATCCTCCAGCCTCAGCCTTTCAAGTTGCTGGGACTGCCAGTGCATGCCACCACACCGGCTTATGTTTTTTTTTTTATAGAGATGAGGTCTCATTATGTTACCCAGATTGGTCTAGAGTTCCTGGGGTCCAGTGATCCTCCCACCTCAGCCTCTCAAAGTGCTGGAATTACAGTCATGAGCCACGAAACTGTCCATTTTTATGCTTAGGTTCAATGAAGTGTGGGCAGCATGTGGAAAAACAATTGGAGAAAAAGGGTCTAATCTAATGCCAGTGGACTGAGTAGGAGCCCCAGCAAGGCCTGGTGAGACTCTTCTTGGCCTCCCAGGGCAGCATTTCCTCCTTGTGGTTATCAGACAGGACCCTCTCTGCAATGGGAGTCTTATGAATTACAGGCAAACAAGATAGGTCAGATAATTTCTTTATGGCCAGTTTTTACAGGGAAGTGGCAACAGGGGGTGGTTTTAGAGTAATACTTTCAGGTTTTGTGGCTGGCTTTGGGGGAAGGAGGTTCTGGTTTCTGTGACCACCTAGGGGAAGAGGCATTCTGGTTTTCAGCTTCAGGGCAGAATGAAGGGCCAGAAACAGGAGGGAAGGAGGTCAGAGAGAGCTGCTTCTGAAGCCTTCATTTTGGGGTGTTATATTCTGAGACCCTCACCAGTCACAGAACCCCATCCAACCACAAGGAATCCGGGCAGTGCAATCCTGCTATAAGTCCAGAATGTGTCCTGAGGAGCACTAAAGACACTCTCAGACGCAGAAATGAGGAAACAAGCTCTGAGAGATGGAATCAATGGGACACTGGAATTGTCTTGGGCAGAAGGAGGGGACCCTTCCCTCTCCCCTCCCCCACTGAGGCAAGACAGAAGCGTAAGAGTTTCCGATCGCTGCTGTGACAAATTTTCACAAACAGAGCAACTTAAACCATGAAATGGCGTGTGGAATTTTTTTTTTTTTTTTTTTTGACAGAGTCTCCCTCTGTCACCCAGTGCAGTGGTGTGATCTCAGCTCACTGCAACCTCCACCTCCTGGGTTCAAGTGATGCTTCTGCCTCAGCCTCTGAGTAACTGGGATTACAGGCATGTGCCACCATGCCTGGAAAATTTTTATATTTTGAGTGGAGATGGGGTTTTGCCAGGTTGGCCAGGCTGGTTTGGAACCCCTGTCCTCAAGTGATCAACCTGCCTCAGCCTTCCAAAGTGCTGGGATTACAGGTGCGGTTCCCTGCGCCCGGCCAAGGCCGCCATCTGGAGTCTCCTGCTGAATCTTTCACCTTTATCCGTGAGCCCCTCTGGGCTTGTGTGACTACACTGGGCCCTCCCGGATCACTGCCCTCTTTTAAGGTCAGCTGACTGGCAACCTTAATGAAATCTGCAAAGTCCCTTCTCCCAGTATCTAGATCAGTGCCTGAAGGAATAACCAGATGGGCTCTTAGGAGCACAGCTTTAGAATTCTGCCTCTCACAGGAGGTGAGGGAGGATGAGCTGCTGCCAGCGAAGTGGGAGCCTATGAGCTGAAAGTCCACACTGCTGGCTTCAGTTGTGTTTTTGCAGTAGGCGTCAAGATCATGTGATAAATAGAGAGCCTGCTAAGTGGACATTTTCAGCTGCTTATACTGAAAACTATATAAAGTTAAAAAGTTTATTTCCATAAGGGAGTGGTCCATTCAAATTATGCAGTGTCTCTTGGACTTGTCAATGACTAGGATTATGATGAAGATCAAATGTTTTGGTTTCAGGATTCTTTTACACTTTTTTTTTTTTTTGAGTCAGGGTCTCACTCTGTTGACCAGGCTGGAATGCAGTGGCAGTGTTAACAGTAGGTAGCTAGTCAGGCATAAGCAGGGCAGAAACAGCGGCCCCTAAGCCTTTGCCGCCTCAGGTGATGCCAGCTGACCCTCAGGTGATGGTCAGGCGGTTGTTAACTGTTACCTAAAATAATAGTTGGTCACAGCTGGTGCCAGGGAAGGGCAGGCTCCCGATAGATAGAGAATACCTGAAACTGGTGATGAGCAGCTTCCCGACAAGATCTCAGGAGTGGGGCAGATGGGCTCAAGCATGCGCATTAAGAGGCAAAATGGCGTCATCTAACCGGAATGCTAGACTGGTAAGGGAAGAAGGCCTCAAGTGAACATGTGTAGAACTCAGTGTGTTTACTAAACACACTGCCCTGCTCCTCTCCCAAGTGCAGGCAGGCCACTGCGCATGCGACAGCCCTCGCCAGGGGCATAATCAGGGGAGAAGTAACACAGGACCCTGGAAGTACGCCAACATATAAAACTGCAAGTTTAAAGGCCCAGCCCTCATTGGCTCTCTCGTCGCCTGCTTGGTCCTCCTCCAAGTACACTTTTCTTTCATTCCTGCTCTGAAGCTTATTTTTAGTTTTAGTTTTTGAGACGGAGTCTTCCTCTGTCACCCAGGCTGGGGTGTAGCGACGTGATCTCGGTTCACTGCAACCTCTGCCTCCCTGGTTCAAGCGATTCTCTTGCCTCAGCCTCCCGAATAGCTGGGATTACAGGCTCCTGCCACTACGCCCGGCTAATTTTTTTGCGTTTTTAGTAGAGACAGGGTTTCACCATGTTGGCCAGGCTGGTTTCAAACTCCTAATCTCAAGTGATCTGCCCACCTTGGCCTCCCAAAGTGCTGGGATTAAAGGTGTGAGCCACTGCACCTGGCCTAAAGCTTTTTAACCAACCTTCACTCCTGTTCTAAAACTTGCCTTGGTCTCTCCTTCTGCATTACGCTCCTCAGTCGAATTCTTTCTTCTGAGGAGGTGAGAACTGAGGCTGTTGCAGACCCCTACAGATTCAACACAAGTAACAGCATGGTCATGGCTCACTGCAGCCTCAAACCCCTGGGCTCAAGGGATCCTCCTGCCTCAGCTTCCCAAGTAGGTAAGACTATAGGCACACATCCCCACACCCTGCTAATTAAAAATTTTTTTTTTTTGTAGAGACAGAGTCTCACTTTGTTGCCCAGACTGGTCTCGAACTCCTAGGCTCAAGCGATACTCCTGCCTCAGCCTCCCAAAGTGCTGGGGTTACAGGCATGACCCACTGTGCCTAGCCACAGCATGTTCTGGAATATAAAGATCTGGCCACACAGATATGTAGTTGGAAAAGAGTAGTATTTTAATTGCCTTTCACAAAACTGGATATTCTTCAATATTACACCAAAACCAAGCAAGTGATAGACTAAATACACTTTCTTCTGTCACACTGGTCCATCTTGCATTTTGAAAAGGTCTTATACCTGTGCATGACACTGTAACATCATGTGCATATTTGGCAAATATTGGTCTGGTGAGCAGATCTTCCAGTTGTTGACACATTTCATTATGCAACGTCAAAGATTCATCCTTTATTATTGAGAAAGTGTCTTGCTCTGTCATTCAGGCTGGATTGTAGTGGTGTGATCATGGCTCACTGCACCCTCAACCTCCTGGGCTCAAAAGGATCCTCCCACTTTTAGTCTCCCAAGTAGCTGGGACCACACGAGCATGCCACCAGGCCCAGCTAACTTATTTTTGGTAGAGACAGGGTCTACGTTGCCCAGGCTGGTCCCTAACTCCTGGGCTAGAGTGATCCTCTTGCCTCAGCCTCCCGAAGTGCTGGGATGACAGGCGTGAGCCACTGCGCCTGGCCAAAAAAATGATTTTCTTTTTGAAAGTGTATGATGCCGCTGCCTGACTCACACTAAGCTGTGGTTTTAATGGTCATTGCTTTTGCACCATCAGTGCAAATGTCAACACAGTGAAAAAGGCAGTAAGTTTAGTGTAGGAAAATACATCTGACCTCGTGGGCCCCTTGAAAGGGCCCTGGACCCCGAGGGATCCACGGAGCAGACTTTGAAAACCAGTTTTAATGTACATAAACCGTTTAGAGCAGTGATAGGGCACACACATTTACATCTTTACTACTTTGTCCAGTTTTCCCCACTTTTCCTGCCCTGCAACACTTTCTCGGGCATTTGCCTTTGGTCCCCACTTTTCTGGTGCTTTTAGATGACCCCGTCCTGCCAAGGCTGCCTGCAAGAAACAACTACGTTGGAGAAACTTCTCCATGCTTACAAATTAGTCAATTACTACCATGTCACCTTCCTCTGGCCCCCCAACCCCTAATCTGTTGCAGCTGTTTCACCTACAGAAAGAAAATGAGATTCAAGAAATTCAGTCCCATGTAAAAGAAAGACGGGCCTCTCAGCCCTCCCAGTGGCATTTGTGCTTCACAGCAGCTGCTTACAGAGCTGACCCTCATCTGAATTCAACCAACCTCAGGTTGAGAACACTCAGGGAAAAATATTGCATCTGTACTGAACATGTAGATTTTTCTTGTCATTACTTCCTAAATACAGTATATTTACATATCATTTAGGTATTATGAATAATGAGATGATTTAAAGTATACAGGAGGATGTATGTTATGTGCAAATAGCACACTATTTTTATCAGGGACTTGAGCATCCATGAAATTTGGTACCTGCAGGACATCCTGGAACCACCCCCACATGGAGATTGAGTAGGCTGAAATTAAAAACACGACATTGAACAAACCTCCAATGAATCCAGCACGTGTAGAAATTGGGAACCAGCAGTAAAACATGGGGACTTACATGGGAATCCAGCCTTTGGGTCAAGCACCCTAAGTTGCTTTTGCTCCACATGGGGAAGGAGAGGGTGTGGCCAAAGTACCAGCAAAATCAAACTTGAGTGATTTGGAATGTGAAAGATAAAATACATCACCTGGAAGAGGTTTAGTACAAATCAACAAATGAAACTCATTAAACATGAAAGGCTTGTAAAACATCTCTAAGTTTCTCTGTTCATTGACCAGTTTCTCAACCACAAAAAACCACCAGGAATGTCTGTGAGGTTCAATTTTGGAAAGGGGGATTGGTTTAGTGGCTCTTCTGATACAACCACGGACCCCTCGGATAAGACTCTGGTCCAAAGAAGGCTGCCGTATGTTCTCTGTAGGCTAGAATCAGTCCTTGTAAATAAACTCAGTTTAACGCTTTCAATACTTAACTGCCTAGTTCCATATAAATGTGAAAATTAGGAAGAATGCAATTATTAGCACACATTCCTAAATCCACAGGAGTTATTTAGCAAAACATCCAATGCATGAATGTACAGAGAAAACACAATGACCCAATAGTTACGACTGGGAAATCTCCAGGTTCACATGAGAGGGTAACCCAAATTAATCACTTAAGCAAATTTAGACAAGAGTTACCACTTCCTAATTCTAGGGAATCTGACTAGTTAAGGTGGCATAACTAGTGATAAAGTTCATCACGTTGAGCTTTAGCATCATGATGCTCTTTAAAAAACACTATTTTAGAAAATCTAGAGAATCACAAGCAAATAGCAGAATGGGGTAGGGGATGAGCTGGGCCACTCTGGGGTCAGACTGCCTGGGATTGACCTGGCCCTACTACTTGCTGGTGGTGAGATGCTGGCAAATTATTAGTACTCACCTGTAAGATGTGAGCAGTAGGAAAGGGTATCTGCCTCACTGGGTTGTGTAGAGTTCTCAGAGCATGTCTTGGCCCAACACTGTTAGCTAGTACTACTTTAGTAAGCACAATTAATTTCAGTCACTCTATCTGAACATGGTAACTGCAAGATTTCTCCCTTATTTCCTGTAATTTACTTTAACCTCCACTTACCGTGTCCCTCTGATAGGAAAACAAGTGGGTTCTTAACTGCCCTAAGCCTGTGCTGGTGGTCAGCTCTGCACATGCTGCTTCTGATTCTGCACATGAGCTGTGTTCAGGGTGGGGCCAGGGCCAGAGGAAAGCAAAGGCTCACATGGGTCTCCATCAGCTCTAAACAATATCCTCGGTTAGGCTGTGAGCAACCTAGTAACAGCACTTAAGGCATCCCGTAATTCTGTGGTGGACCCTCTACAAAGGGCCCACCCATTTAGATAGGAAGAGGATCAAGCCCATATTCCTCTCAATACGAAAGTGCATCTTGAGAGCTCATGTTTAAGCTGTTAAAATAGTCCCTACAGCTTATTTTGAGGGGGAAAAAAAATCCACCCAAGCCCCTCCAATTAAGGCAGCATTTAATTACTGTTACAATAAATGTTTCTTAAACCTGAAGAGAAGATAAAGGTTGTTTAAACAGATTCTTTTAATACAATGAATACAAAAGCATGTTGAGATAGTACCCCAATTACATGGCTTTGAACAAGTGAAACTATGGTTACCAAATAGCTATTTTTATTATAGCATCTACAGTGTCTGGAAAAGGATGTAACAATAAATAACTGTAGACACATCACAACACATCCATTTACTTAATCAGAGAAGTGGATCTTACTACATAGTATTCTCAATGTCTTCATTCTTCAGATTCTCCAGGCTTACGAATGTCATCAATCTTCAAAATCATTCTAACCATTTGTGTTGCAAGAGATATCTGTTGCTTTTTGCCAATCAAGGTTTCTATGACATGCTGTTGCTTCATATCTGAAAAATACAAGGAAATTGATTATCCTAAAATAGCATACAATAAACTATCAATAACCAGCTCTGACTTTCTGGTTTATGGAATCACAGTAAGACTTAAGAAATACAAGCTCCTGGAAGCCAAGCAGGAGGCCACTAATTTCAGTTCTATTTCATGTTCAGATGAATGTAATTTCATTATTTCCAAGGACACTCTGGAACTCGAACCTGGTAGAGAGAGCTGTTGAGAGAGGGCTTTCTTCAATGACTAGCTACAGGGTGAAATTTTTCAGTAACATCTTATCCCACAAAGTAACCATACCCTAACTTAGGAAATCTAAAGTAAATGAATCCGACCATAGCTGAAATGTAAGATATTTCCAAGAAAGATCTAGAAATGCTAATTTTTTTTTGGAGACAGGTGTCACCCAGGTTGGAGTATAATAGTGTGATCTCGGCTCACTGCAACCTCTGCCTCCCGGGCTCAAGCGATTCTCCCGCCTCAGCCTCCTGAGTAGCTGGAATTACAGGCATCCGCTACCAGGCCCAGCTAATTTTTATATTTTTAGTAGAGATGCTGTTTCACCATGTTGGTCAGGCTGGTGTCAAACTCCTGACCTCAGGTGATCCACCCAGCTTGGCGTCCTGAAGTGCTGGGATTACAGGCATGAATCACTGAGCCCGGCCCTAGAAATGCTAAATTTGAGCACAACCAAGCATTCAAGTTAGAAACATTAAATATTTGCCTCACAAAGAGTTGCTATTATTGAAACTCTTGGGATATGAGCATGGAAAGCAGAATGTACCACCTATACTTTTAAGCAAAAACAAACTGTCACATTCTGTGGATGGATTACAGACATGGCCTGATTCAGTACAGAAATGCCTGGGACCACTTTTTCAACAAGCTACAGTCACCATATCTTTTTGGGAGCTGGGCTACAGAGGTTATAGTATTACATTTAGAAAACACTCCAGTGTGCTGGATTAACCACACAGTGACCTGTGAACTAAAGCCCACTTCAGAGCTGTTTTATACGCTGTCCACTGACAGACATTTGTGTAAAAACAGCAATATGGCATTACTTCCCCAAAACCAGAGATTAAAACCTAAGTCATCTTTGGTGATAGTACCGTATGTAGTTTACTGTTATTAAAATGAGTCTTATGTTGCTAGGTCTAGTAGTCTAACCAATTCCTATGGCAATCAATCAAACATTCTAAAATTCAGGATTTGAACACCTGAAGTGGCTTTACATATTTAAAAAGATACCACCATCTCACAGTACACACAGTGGATGATTATTCAGTTTAAATCAGACACCGCACGCAGAGGTGTGACAGCTCCTCACCATTTGTCCCCTTGTGCAAACAGTCGATGCCAAGAGCAGGGTTCATCTCCTTCACCTGTCTGGCTCGGACTTCGGTCATCGTCTGGATGGGATTCATGCCACTGTTTTCAGAGAGGGCCATGGGGATGACCTCCAGCGCGTCGGCAAACGCTCTCATGGCGTACTGTTCTAAAGTGGGGCACTGGAAAGGTGCGGAGGTATGGTAAGTGCACTTGGCAAAACAAAACCACCCAGCAGCACCCTGAAAACACACTGTATCACATACTTGGAAAAGTCAGCTCACAAAGACTTTGAAGAACAGGCTGTCTCTCACACCAACATGGCACACGTACACACATGTAACAAACCTGCACGGTGTGCACATGTAACCTAGAACTTAAATAAAAAAAAAAAAGAATAGGCTGTCTCTATTTTTGTATCTATCAGAATATTATAATGTCACTACAGAATACGGGCAGAGGGTATACATACATGAGAGACGTCTCAAAATACAGCAGCTTTTACGACTTATCTTTAAGTTATACTACTAATTTTGAATTTCACATAACATTAAAAGACCAGAGATTTATTATTTTAAGAATGAACTGGCTGAAAACAGCTGAGAAATGCTAGTTTATGGTAACCTGAATCTGAATACAGGAACATGGGAATTAACTTAGATTAAAACACCTGTCACCTACACACAGCTCACGATGCTTTTGTTCGTTTTGCATCCAGCACCTCGCTGTTCTGCAGCCTCAGAGCCTCCACTGTCGGCGAGGCCCAAGTCTTTTACTAAGTCTGCACATATCCCTTACCTTATCCGCCTCTTGGCTAACTGCCAGGGCACAGGATATCTCAGCAGCCCCTCCTCCATACACCACACGATTATCGCGGATGAGGTTCCGGATGACACACAATGCATCGTGAAGGGATCGTTTCGCCTCCTCAATGATCTAAGGAAAACAGCTTTGCCTAAATTAATGTGATCAAGATCTATTCAATTTAGAGGCAAGTATCTGGCACCTTTTTAAAGACAGACAGGCTGTGCTCTAATAGTTAGATGGCCTCCACTATCGGATGATCTGTATCTTTCTAGCTTTCCTTCCTGTAACGTAGTTAATAAAATTCAAGAGGCAGAGGTGGCCAGTGACTCATTCTAGGATACACGGTTAAGCAAGAGTCAAAAACCGACAAACCTCGCAAAGATTTATCACAATGTGCTACAACTCATTCTCAAAGAACAGAGATCGTCGATGGTTATTCACTTGGGTTCCCTTTTTCTACCTTAGGGACAGATGTAAGTCATCCTTGGGAATACCATATTGTAATTTGTTATTAAAATGAATCTTATGTTGCTAGGACTAGCAGTTTAACCAACCCCTAAGGTAACTGTACCCAACATTCTAAAATCCAAGACTCGAATATTTAAACTGTGTTTAAGTATTTAAAAAGATATAAAAATCTCATAGTGTATATTGTACACTATAAGGACAGCAGAAAGGCAAATGTGCCTCGTGAAATTAACCATGATACATCACTGTTTGAGAAACATGATTATTTTTCTTAGGGTGACTATGTCTCTGTTAAATATATACAGGCAAAAAAACCAGACCATGAAGCAAAATAAGCAATAGTATAGGACGAATAGTTGAATTCTCACCATCTTATTTCCTCCTCTAATAAAAATGGTTACAGCTCTGGAGTTCTTACACTGCTCGATGACCAGCATTTTATCCTTAGTTGTCCCAAATGAGATCTCCTGTACAAGACCAGCAAAGCCCAGCTTCTCGGCTGTGAGCTCTGAGAACCTGGGGACGATGCGACCTCCTGTAGCGATGGCAATCAGCTAATCGGGGTGGTCAGGGAGAAGGATGAAGACAGTACTGGTGAAGTTAACTTTCAAAACCGGGCACAAATGAGCAAAACTTGATCTAAGACCCCCTTGTTCACTAGAATTGCTGCCCCACTTTGACCAAAACATCTTCAGTTCAACCCAAAGCACCTTGTTACGTAACAAGGCTCTTGAGGAGCTGGGCGTCTCGATCTGGGGCTTTGGTGCTGCCTGGATCTATCACCCTGCGCCTGTCCCCTAAGCTCATGCCCTCACCTCCCCTCTGTGCAGCCCTCCCTCTCTGGGAACCCAGCCTGCATGTTCCTTGCACTGTGCTGCAGTGAGAACCACCAAGGCAGCATTGCCCGGGACTGCCGTTAGTATCTGGATGAGACCAGGTCTTCCAGCCTTAGTAAGTCAACGATAGGGCCGAGTGAGACAACACAGGGAGATAATTTCAAAATGCCAGGGAACACCAGAAACACACAGCACTGTTAACCAAACAGTAACAAAGATTCCAGCGCTTTCCTCTCTCCCAGCTCACCCTCCCCTCATCTCCCAGCCTTGGTATGATGCAGTTATTTAAGGCAGGGCTATCAAAACACCCCTCAACACATAAGGTGAACCCCTACATCTCAAAGTCTCTTCATGTGGAGCAACCTACCTCAATTTCAGGTCCTCCTACCCAGCGAACCGCAGGCAAGTTGTTCTGAAGAAGTAAGTGATTTGCTTCATCATCAAAACCCCACTGACAAATTGCTAGGTTAGCACCAGTCTCTTTAATCTGGGAAAAGAAACACCGCAATTGTATTAAGAGAAAGTGGGTATTTATTCTTCGCTATAATGTTTGAAAAAAGGAGAGGCACAATTGTGTGTAAGGCATGTGCACTTGAACACAAAACCAAAGGAAAGAGAAAGAAGGAAATAGACAAGTGTCCACTTTTCTGTCAGTTCCAAATTCTAAATAGTGAGTATTTTATCAATGGGGATCACCTCATTGTCTAAAGATGCTTTAAAAACCACAAGCAGTAATTCATGCTGAACCCTATTGTTAAAACGATGCGAAGTCAACAGAAATGTCAACAAACAAAGCTAATACCCTTCCCAACCACGGGGGAAATGGCTAACAGCTCTGTCCTGTCACCAATACCTACGGAGTAGTTTCATCTGAGTATGTTTTAAACACACAATGTTGTGAACCACTTGCAACCTGCCCATCTCACCTGGATGGACAATCCTCAGTGGATCCACAGATACAAACTAAATCAGGCGCCCACAGAGGCGACTCTGCTTCCTGTAAGGAGCACCCTCACCCCGACCTGCAAAGGGCAAAGTGACTTTTCCCAAATAGGAGGGCAACGATCCGGCTGCCCACCCCACCTCTGGTGCTCACCTGGGACTGCCACGCCATGCCCCGCAACTCTCACCTACCTGTCTCCATCAGGCCTCCCAGACCACCTGCTACTGCCTGGCTCTCCCTCTCTTCCTTCCCTGACCCTCTGAACTCAGTCCAGAACAGCAGCCTCCTTATACAACCCCTGAAAACCAGCCTGCACTTGCAACCCTCCTCAGATGGCAGCTGCTTTCCCTCTCACGTGCTCAAAACAGGAGACGGGTCCTTCTTGCTCCTCAGTCACCTACAATGTTCCTCTTTGGGTCCCTGCCTCTCATTCTTGAACATTTTTAGCATCTAGCCCCATCCCCCTTCCTTTCTCATTCTCAGCAACCTGCGCCTCACCAGCATGATCCAGTAACATCCCTGGCCTCTCAGTTTATCTCTGACCTGCCAGCGCAGCTGAGCCACCATTCTCATGACCACTGATGGCCTTTTATGCATAAGCTCCTGCCAGCATGCTCCAATCCCTGAGGGTGGCTGTTCCTTGTAGAAGCCAACACGTTCCTGGCTCAACAGCATCCCCTTCTGTCCTCAGCCTGGAATGCTCCTCCCCTAGGGGCGCTGCTCTCACTCAATGTTGGCCTTTCCTTACAGGTCACGTCTCTGACCAGTGTCTGTAATGGAGCTGTACCCATCTTTCCCCTATTTGTGCCTCAAGAACACGAGCTTGGCTTCATTCCCTGCTGTACCTTTAGTGCCTACAACAGAGCCTGGTACGTCGTAGGCACAAAGAACTGTATCATCAATGAGTAAGTACAATGACTTTCCCAGGAACAGACATGAAAATCGTCTCTAGTTGGTTTGCTATGATAAATAATGCTCTAACCAACATGTTCCTGTCTTCTTGAGTACCGGTGTTTTCAACTCCCAAGGACACAGCCCCCAAAGAGGAGTTGGTAGGTCAGAGAGAAAGCACACCTATGCTAAGGTATTCATGAACCCAAACTAGACTTAACCGAGCAAAGAATTGGGATTACTGTAAGTGCATTCTGGTTTAACTCCAGTTACTCATTAACTCTTGTCTAAAATGTATAGTCAGAAATCTTAAGGTAAGTTACATTAAATTTGTCCAGGAGAGCAAATATAATATGTACAACTGAAAACATGGCTTTAGTTAACAGGGTCACTTCTTTCAGGACCCTGAACATAACTACCTTTTGAGACATAGTCTCAGTCTGTCACCCAGGCTGGAGTGTAATGGTGCGATCTCAGCTTGCTGCAACCTCTGCCTCTTGGGTTCAAGCGATTCACCTTTCTCAGCCTCCTGAGTAGCTGGGACTATAGGTGCCTGCCACCACGCCTGGCTAATTTTTTGCATTTTTAGTAGAGATGCGGTTTCACCGTGTTAGCCAGGATGGTCTTGATGACCTCATGATCAGCCTGCCTTCGCCTCCCAAAGTGCTGGGATTACAGGTGTGAGCCACCACACCCAGCCTGAACATGCTACCATTTTAAGACAAAATCAGAATTCTTCCCTGTTTATGCTTTTCTATGTGATTTGTTTTTTCCCTGTGTATGTTTTAGAACTGAAGGAAGACTACACATATTTACTAACCAAACCTAACTAACTGTACCCTTTGGGAGTTTAAATTCCACTGAGGACTCTGGTAAGTCTTACTTGTTGAATCATCTCTTCAAATTTCTCCTTTTCGTATTTCTGAAGGGCTTTATAATCTTCAACAGACGTCACATCCAGCTTATGCTTTGTTTTTGGTTTGGGTGGTTCAAATGGACATGTGAGAATTGCAATCTTAGCATCTTCCACTTTCTATGGGGGAACATAAAGACATTTTAATTGGTGGAATTAAGAGTTAACCAAGAGTGCAAAGCTGTGAAATGCAATGGCTTACTTTCGGCATCTGTGGGTGACTGAAATCCTTGTCCACAATCACGCCCTTAATCAATTTAGTGTCCTCCAGCCTGCCGCCCACTTTGCCTTCTACTTTGATAAGCTCAAAGTCAACATCTCTCCGCTCCATATCTGCTACAGTGAGGACGGCATTCACAGCAATCTCAGCCATCTGTCGGTGACAACTGTTGACCCTGATGAAAACACCACAAAACAAACTTCACTGGTTTCACAACTACTACAACCAAAGCAGGCCACACGATACAATGTTACTCAAAGATATAAATCAAATATTTTGAGTCTTCTAAAAGGGAATGCCATCTCAACCTGCATTTTCAACAGGCTGGGGCAGAGATTCTTAACCTGTGATCCATGAGCCCCAAAGAGGACCGTATACTTACATGGGAAAAAAATCACATCTTTATTTTCGCTAACTCTGAAATTTACTATTGCCTTCCATTATGAATGCACTCAAGAAACCACTGTAGTCTGGCATGAACTAAGGTCTTAGAATGCACGACTTCTACAGAATACTGTTACTATTTCACAAGTTCAGAACAGAATGAGAAAGGTAAGTAATCACTCAGGAAAAGTCAGTCTTATATCAATGAAGCGTAGCACTAATCGGGAGGTGAAAGGACTGGACAGGGCTGCTCACTTTCTAAGAATTCACCACAACATCCATTACAGATGAAGGATGTTACCTTTTTGAAAGCTTTCAAACATGTGAATAGACTGCTCAATAAATTCATTTTAGAGTCAAGAAAAACAACTAGGGAAACCTAGCACTTGAAATAATGTCTGAAATCGTAGATTATCTATAAAAGAGAACCATGAAAGTAAACGTTTTATCTTAAGTAGACGACTTAATACTCGTAAACAGAACAGGGCCAACTTATAAAGCAACAAGAAAATAGATTTGTACACTTCAAGTAATGATGCTGTCCTCCTTTCATGAGAAAATAGTGTTACACTTATGACAAAGGCTACCCGTAGAGTACTCACTCTTGCCTAGGGAGCTAGTCTCTGCTGAGATCTGTGGTTACAGGAGGACAGGCACTGCTCAAGGCTTCTGCCTTAACACAGGCTTTGCTCAGGGGAAAAGGCAACAGAAGCAAACACTTTTCCTACATTTTTTCTGACTACTCTGAGTTGAGAAGACCCCTCCTTCCTTTTTGCTAAAACCACCACAAGCACACAATTGAAAACCTCACTGACTTTTTTTTTTTTTTTTTGAGATGGAGTCTCGCCCTGTAGCCCAGGCTGGAGTGCAGTGGCCGGATCTCAGCTCACTGCAAGCTCCGCCTCCCGGGTTCACGCCATTCTCCGGCCTCAGCCTCCCGAGTAGCTGGGACTACAGGCGCCCGCCACCTCGCCCGGCTATTTTTTGTATTTCTTAGTAGAGACGGGGTTTCACCGTGTTAGCCAGGATGGTCTCGATCTCCTGACCTCGTGATCCGCCCATCTCGGCCTCCCAAAGTGCTGGGATTACAGGCTTGAGCCACCTCGCCCGGCCTCACTGACTTAATATAATGCCATAAAGCAGCTTACACTGGATTTTTGTTACATTATGGCAACAGACCTCAAGTCTTTGTCGTGGTTCATCATCAGTGCACCCCTTGGTTGAGGTTGCCTAGAGTCTCCTGGGGGGAGAGCTGTGTCTCAGTGCCCAAAAGACCCGGCAGTAAGCCTGGCAAATGGGTAGTATGCAAACACTGAAAACGCCAGAGACAAGTCACTTTCAAGACTCTCTTTACTAAATCATAATTTTGGATCGGCAATTTGCCGAATAAAAAGGGGAACCCCCCCCAGTGGCTCCCCAGCAAAGAAATTATAGAAAGTGTTATGAAAATTCACATATCCTGGCCGGGCGCGGTGGCTCACGCCTGTAATCCCAGCACTTTGGGAGGCCAAGACGGGCGGATCACGAGGTCAGGAGATCGAGATCATCCTGGCTAACATGGTGAAACCCCGTCTCTACTAAAAATGTATTTAAAAAAAAAAAAAATAAGCCGGGCGCGGTGGTGGGCTCCTGTAGTCCCAGCTACACGGGAGGCTGAGGCAGGAGAATGGTGAACCCGGGAAGTGGAGCTTGCAGTGAGTGGAGATCGCGCCACTGCACTCCAGCCTGGGCGACAGAGCAAGACTCCGTCTCAAAAAAAAAAAAAAAAAAAAGAAAATTCACATACGCTCCAGGTAGGACCCTTTCTAGTTTTTTTTGGAGACAGGGTCTCGCTCTGTTGCTCAAACTGAAGTGCAGTGGCATGATCATGGCTTGCTGTGCCTCAACCTCTCACCTTAGCCTCTGGAGTGCACTATCATGCCTGGCTGGTTTTTTATGTTTTGTAGCAATGGGGTCCCACTATATTGCCCTGGCTGGTCTTGAATTCCTGAGCTCAAGCAGGCTACTGCTTTGGCCTCCTAAAGTGCTAAGATTACAAGTAGGAGCCACTGCACCCAGCCCTGACTGATTTTTAACACAATCTATTCTACTAAATTAAAATAACTACATTTTGCAAATATTGTCAAGGGGATTTATGCATGAACTTAGAAACTCAGTTCTCAACTACAATACAAAATGCATGTATCTACATCTACAATAAAAACAAAGCAAAACCAAGTAACTGAAAGAAATCATAAAATCAACACAAATCCACCAGTGGTCATTTTGTGCTGCCTTTAAGAGACGGCAAACAAGCTGCCTCTACAAATGTGTGATCGTATCGTCTACCAAAACGTACACTTTGGAGCCCAGCGTGGTTTTTGCTGTCTGAATCAGGGGTTCGGTGTCCTTTATGTCAACAAGGACGCTATCACTGATCTTGTCCAGGTGTTCAATAGCAACGCGGGCAGCCTGCTCATAGCCATCAGCTATTCTGATAGGGTGAATGCCTCGGTCTAGCAATTGCTCCGCTTCTTCTAACAAGGCACCAGCCAGGACTGCAAACAAACCAGCAGACAATCAGTTTAGGAAAACAACAAAACTTCACTTTTAGTATAATCAGCACAAGTTAGATGCTGTCATGGAAAGAAAAAGCTTCCAGAATTAAGCTGGAAGTCATCTCAGAGGCAGAAGCTATCTATTTTTAAAAGAAAGCCTCTTGTTTTGGTTCTAGCAAAGGTCTAATAGGACACATGTCCCCTTATAGACGAACATTCAACCCTCAGTGATGTAAACAATGTAACTAAAGAATATAATGTAAAAAGAACATTTTTCTAAGAGGTAAAAAGCTATTATGTTTCATGGGCCAAGGTCTATTCAGTGAAATTCATCCTGGTGATAAGACTAAAACATTTGTTTATTATTTATTCCCCCCACCCCCATCCTCCTTTCTCCTCATTTTAGGGTCACATAGATGAATTCTGTTTAAATCTACTGGTCTCCAAGCGCACTGAGAACAGTGCCTGGCATATAATGGTATCCAGTAAATATTTGCTGAATGAATGAATTCAAGTTTCATCTGCAGAAAAGAACTTTACTGATATTTTGTCTTCAATTTCCCCAACTTTTTAAAGATTTCAAATCTACAAAAAACAAGGTACAATACTAAAATGAGTACCAGTTTACTTATTAACATTTTGCCACATTTTCTCTACATGTACAAACTGTTTCTGTTCAGCTATTTGAGAATTAGTTGCAGAAACCATGATATGTTTGTTACTCCTAAGTATTGAGGCAAACAGCCGAGAATAAGGGTATTCTCCTACACATATGCAATACAGCGGTCACGCTCAGGAAACTCAGCATTGTAGTACATGATCCATAATCAAATTCCTCTACTTTTCCCAAACCTCCTTTAGAGCTTAAAAGACAAACAAAATCAGCGCCCAATCAATCATTACAGATTTCTCCTTGCCTAACAATCCCCAGGCCTCTTTCTATTCTTTTTTAACACTGTCAGTTTTGAAGGTCCCGGGCATTTGTTTTGTAGCGTGTTCTTCAACTTGGATTTGTCTGTCTCCTCAGGCTCTGATTCAGAGACAACAATCTCGGCAGGCATGTTAGCCCTGTAGTCTTAAATGACATCTCTTAAATGAGAAAGGAAGGATGTTTTGTCTTTTCTTACCAACCACTCCTGTGGTTCCATCTCCAATTTCATCATCCTGAGACTTGGACAGTTCCACCATCAGCTTGGCAATCTGATGATCAACATCCATCATGCTTAAGATGGTGGCCCCGTCATTAGTTACAGTCACATCGCCATCCTTATCCACCATCATCTTATCAAGCCCTAAAAAGACAACATTTAGTAGGCTTTGGGCAAACAACTGGCAACCAATATCACAAACTATAAAAAAAGACCTCTGCACCCAGCTCTTATCTATGCAATTTATTATATGCAAATATTTCAACATACACAAAATAATAGCTGCGTGAAGGCATTTTGAGATTGGCTAACACAAATGGCAAAAAATTATGGAGCATCATTAAGTATGGTATTAATCTCAAGACAACTATGATTTGGAAAATGCTAATGAAATGATATTAAACGTGTTAAAAAAAAAAAAGGCCCGACCTAAAACTACACGCGATTATAACCATGTTTGAGAAACCTGAGATACACTACAAAATTTTCCCTGTGTTAAAGAAGTAAGATGCTGCCCTCAATACTCCACCTTTCTGTAGAGAGGTTTGTATTGACAGTTTTATGATTTAAATCTTTTGCTAAAAACATGGAATGGTGGACTCTTACCATTTGGTCCAAGTGACGTTCTCATTGTATTTGCTACAGCCTTTGCTGCCATTATATGAGACTAATGAAACAAACAGAAAAAGCAAACACTGTTACATACAATTTCAATGGTTAAAAGCACACATCTGATGATTAAAAATCACTTACGATTTAGTTTCTGTTTTCTAGAAGCTTCTACATTTAAGGGGCAACAGACAGGTCTAAGTATTATAACATTTATAACTCCAGCTTTAATAAGCAATTCTTATATAAAAGAAAAAGAACTCAGTGCTTTGTGTTATCTCACTGAATTTTCAACACATTAATGAGACAGATTCTTTTACCAGCTCATTTACAGCTGAGAACAGGGACAGTATGACCATGACCTTACAGGCCTTGCAAGATCACTGTGAAACACAGTCATCCCTGAGCATCCATGGGGAACTGGTTCCAGGAGCCCCTGAGGACACCAAAATTTACAGATGCTCAAGTCCCTTGCATCCAGGCTTCTATATCTGTGGGTTCCACATCTGCAGATAAGAAGGGGCCTGTACTCATGAGAAACAGTCCAACTGTAAACATACAACACCTCATTGTCATACCATGATTTACTGGATTTACTGCAGAGTTATAATCTTTTGAGCTGGGTGCGGTGGCTAGAACCTGTAACCCCACCTACTTGGGAGGCTGAGGCAGGATTGCTTGAGGCCAGGAGTTTGAGATCAGCCTGGGAAACATGATGAGACCCCGTTATAAAATAAAAAGAAAAAATGTTCTTGCTTTAAAAATCTTCCTCCACCCACCTGAAATCCCAATAATTATATTTATAGATCAAAGTTAGTGACTGGGTTTTTTTTTTTTTTTTTTTTTGAGACGGAGTCTTGCTCTGTTGCCCAGGCTGTAGTGCCGTGGCATGATCTTGGCTCACTGCAACCTCCGCCTCCCAGGCTTAAGCGACGCTCCTGCCTCAGCCCCCCAGTAGCTGGGATTACAGGCATGCGCCATCACACCTGGCTCTTTTTTTTTTTTTTTTTGTACTTTTAGTAGAGACAGGATTTTGCCATGTTGGCCAGGCTGGTCTTGAACTCCTGACCTCAGGTGATCCACCCGCCTTGGCCGCCCAAAGTGTTGGGATTACAGGCGTGAGCCACCGTGCCCGGCCCGCAACTGGCCCTCTTAAGGAAGGTGAAGTAGCTGTCAAAGTGATAATAAAAAAGTTACCTGTTTTTTTTTCCCCACATTTAGCTACCAAATTGAGTGAAATTATTATTATTATTATTATTTTTTTAGGAGAAAGCAAGAGGCAGAAAGAAAAGGATGTAAAGAATTTGGCAAATAGGAGAGATCCCAAAATCCCGATATATTTTGCTCTACCGCACGGTAAAGTGGAAAAAACCTTTTTCTTCCTTCTGCTAGTTCTGTGTGTTTCCAGAGGGAAGAGTCTAAACATCAAGCCATAATACATATTATGGACAAAACAGAATTATGCTGGCTGGCCTGGAAACTTAGCCTGCTCTGTTTTAGATTATACGGTTTTAGAATATGATTCCTTCCTAAGCCAACTAATGCCTGCACTTTTTTTTTCTTTGAGACAGAGTCCTGCTCTGTCACCCAGGCTGGAGTGCAGTGGCATGATCTTGGCTCACTGCAACCTCCGCCTCCCAGGTTCCAGCGATTCTTCTGCCTCAGCCTCCTAAGCAGCTGGGATTACAGGTGCATGCCACTACACCCGGCTAATTTTTGTATTTTTAGTAGAGACGGGGTTTCACCATGTTGGTCAGGCCAGTCTCGAACTCCTGATCCTGTGATCCACCCACCTCGGCCTCCCAAAGTGCTGGGATTATAGGCCTGAGCCACTGCGCCTGGTCAATGCCTGCATTTTAAAGGTGTAATATTATACAGTTAAGTGTTAAACAACTGAAGAATCTCAACAAAATACATATTACCTTTAAGGCTCTAAATGACCAGAGAAGAATCGTGACCATTACCATCAAAACGTTCAAGTCAAGGCCCATACATTTCTTTCACTGTTGCCTTCAATTTCTATATATTTTGGTTCTTCAAGTTAGCTGGACGTTTTATGAGGTCAGGAAGCAAGTGTATATCCCTACACTGCTGAGCCTCAACACTCAAAGGATGCCTACCCACAGCATCCAAAGAGATTTAAACACCCACGTTACTGTCCAAATGAGCTCCCACAGCAAAGAATGATCTGACCTCGAATGTCAATAATGTCAAGCTTGAGAATGCTGCTCTAGACCACTGGCTTTGACTCCGAGAGGTGGCCTTGAACCATGGTGCTGATCTTTGCTTGCAATTGCTCTTTAGAACAATTTCTCAACTGCTCTGGGCCCAAGTCCCCAGTTTTGGAAAAATAACAACTATCTCAGAGTGTGAGACTTCTGGGCACAAATGCATGCAGTTAGAACAAAATGGCTGATGCAAAACAACCTATAGCTTTAGATATGTTGTTATACTGCGTGTGTGTACTGGATGTTACTTTCCCTGCAGGTCCCTGTAAGTGAAAAATAAAACAGGATACATAATACAAGTAGCTTGAAACTTTTTTCTTTCTAGAAAGGAAACAAATACTGAGTGCCTGCCATGGATCACCCACTGTGCAGCCCCTCTAAGTCACTCCACTGAATATCACTGTCAAGTCTTCAGCTTTATGGAGGCGTATCACCTCCACTGGAAAAGGAGGTTCCGAGACGTTGTGTAACTTGCGCTAAGTCAAACAAAGAGTCCATGGGGGAACTGTATTGTTTCTAACTTTGCGTAAGTCAACCTCCAAGACATTAAGTGAACAGGGACACCTGAGACCTGGTGGAACGGTCCATTAGGAATTCACTTTATAACAAACCCTGAAGGCCCTCTCGGAGTGTCCCTTCCTCTGCATTTTCTGTCAACATCTGGTGCTCAGATGACCCTTTCTTACCTGCACCCCTGCCCTGGCTTCTTTAACCCCTGTGGGCTTCTTTATTCCCTTTGGTCCATCTCAAGCGTTGCTGCCTGAAGTGCAGCTCTACTTAAATTCTGCTCAAAACCCCCTCAGTGGCTCCCCTTCTTCCCCAAGGATAACGTCGTATTTTCCATTCTGGGCATTCAATAGCCTCAGTGCTCCATTAAAACCGGGTGGCTCTTCCACTCTACAACGTGCCATGCGCATTCTTGCCCAAGCCTTTACTTCTACGTTTCCTCTCCCTAGAATGCTCTCACCCCTGATCTAACGCTGTCCTCCAGCACTACGCTCATCAGAACTCTCTCCATAGCTGTCCTTCTCACCGCACACCGCCTTGCATTACGGTTTTGTGCGTCCGTTTTTCACTCTTCGCTATTTTTCCTCAAAGGTGGGCAAACAAGCACTCAGAAATGAAATACCCTGTAAGTGACCACACCTTTACGAGTGACAAAGAATACGGAAGGGCCGTTGCGGGTGGACCAGCGCAGGGTTAAGCAGCAGCGCCTTAACCAACAGGTGACGGAGCATCTCCCCGGCGCCTTCCCACGGGAGCGCAGCCCCACGCGGCCGTCAGGCTGGAGGGGCCGGGCAGGGAGGCGGTCCCGCTTCGCTCCCGCGGGCGACCGGACTGAGCGGCCCCGCCCAGCTCCGAAGGGCGCTGGCGGCCCAGCCTGGCTGGCCCCGACATTCCGAGCCCAGGATTAGGCGCTAGCCTCTCCCGAGCTCAGTGAGCCGGGTGCGCGGCCGGAGACTGCCGGGAGACGGGGATTCTCGACCTTTCCGGGGAGCACATGGCACAGCGGCTCCTAAGCTCGCGCAGGCGCAGAGCCACGGCCTCGGCCGCCTCCCCTCAGCCCACCGCGAACAGGTCCCTGTGCCATTACCTTAAGGGCCTCAAGTCCCATAAGACGGGACTTGCGGTCCTGATCCTTGATGATGAGAAAAGGGCGCCCATATTCATCGAAGGCGAGGGTCCCCATAGACGCCATGGTGGAGCAGCCGGAGTTACTTTACCCCAACCGGCGGAGACCGCTACGGGAGCGAGAACGCACTTTTCTCTCGCGGGAGGACCCAAAAGCTTGCGCACGCGCAGCACAGGACGCGCGGGACTTATATTTTAACTGAGACTAATTTCACGCCAGACAGTATCTTCTGGAATCGGCGGCCTTAGGGAATTTCTATTATCCAGGAAGCCGTGGGGGGAGATTTGAAGACACTTAGTGGAAATCTTAGGACACACAAGCCAAGAGCAGATTGAATCTGTCAGTTTTTAAAATTTTACCATTGAGAGTTTCTGATAGTGGGTACCGAGGAGGAATTCATTGACTTAAAGATTTCTTCCAACTCCGGCTCCGAGAAGATGGTAGGACCCATTTCCTCCCCCTCCCCCGCCCCCTCCAAAACCACTTGGAAATCTCGCGATGGAGGGAGGAGGAGGTGAGGCGGGAAAGGCGTGGCGGGCTCCTGTGGGCGTGAGAAGGGGTGCGGGCGGGCCGGGGGCTCGCGGTCAGCTGAGGTCTCCACTGTCGAGCCGGTGGCCGGGCGGGTGGCTGCCCTGGCCTCCAGCCTGGCGTTCGGTACCCAGAGCTTGTGGCCGCCGCGCCGTGCCCGCGCCGGTTCTGGGGATCGTTGGCGGCGGGCGCGTTTCCCGGTGCGAATTCCTCTCTGCCAGAGACTGTTGTGGGCTCCTTAGGGCAAGTGACTCAGCCTTTAGCACGATGTTAAGGAATAGGGATAGTGGAGGCACACTGATGGATTGGAATCGCAGTTCTGCCGCTCTTCTAGCTGTGGCTTTGGGGAAATCCCTTAACTTCTTTGTCCCTCGGTTTCCTTGTTTGCAAAGTGACGGTGGTAACAGTAGTGCCTACCTTACAGGGCTGCTGTGAGATTCAAAGAGAACGGTGCCTGGCCCTTAGCAAGCTGTGTTTAAGTGTTGGTAAATCAATTAACATTTTGCACAAATGGCCCAGTAACTTGCCACGGTTTTACAGCTAGTAAGAAACAGAGTTGCACAGCCTGATGCAATGGGTGCCACACTCTTTTTTTCTGGAGACAAGACTAGCCCAGGCTGGAGTGCAGTGGCGCGGTCTTGGCTCACTGCAGCCTCCGCTTCCCGGATTCAAGCGATTCTCGTGCCTCAGCCTCTTAGGCATCTGGGACTACAGGCACAGGTCACCAAGCTCGCTAACTTTTGTATTTTTAGTAGAGACGGCGTTTTGCCATAGTGGCCAGGCTGGTCTCGAACCCCTGACCTCAAGTGATGTGCACGCCTAGGTCTTCCGAAGTGCTGGGCATGAGCAACCGCAGTGCCCGGTGGGTCCTACTCTTAAGCCCTGTATTATGCTGCCTCAGAAAGATCTAGGTAACCGCAGCTGTCCTCTGAATCTCTTATGCTGCCTTCCCGTGCGCCCTCCAAGATCATGACTTAATATTTGATAGGTTTAGATTTATTTGTTGAGGGGTTCCAACCTTACTTCTCCGCTACTGCCATAGGCAGGGACTTAGCTAATAAAGTTGTATTATTCCCAGACTTTATTAGGTACTCAGTAAATGTTGAAATGGATACATGCACTATAACATTTGACCCTGGCCTGAAAGTCAAGAACTGACTTGGCGCCTGTGTTCCCACCTACTCTGGGGGCTGAGGCAGGAGGATGGGTGGAGCCCAGGAGTTCAGTTTACAGTGAGCTATAATCCACCACTGCACTCCATCGTGGGCGACAGAGCGAGATTCTGTCTCCAAAACAAAACAGGGAGGACTGATTTTGTCATTGGATGGTTGGTGATCAGTTAACTCTTAATGCTTGGCATAGTTAAACGCGCTAGACATCTTCAAGGACACGTTATTTCACGTTAGCTTTGGCAATTCAGTGTTTCCTCATTAAAAATGGTGGCTTCTGCAATTCATTTGGCTCATTCGATTGTTGTGAAAAATAGAATGTCTTATGGCATCCTCTATGTAGTTTATTTCCTGTCAAAATACTGGGGAGCAAGAGGGGATTTTTCCTAGTATCAATAGCTCATGTATGTCAAAAGGACACAAATGACATTAGACTAGTATAAGAAAGGCTTTGTAAGGACATAAGAATATATGCTAAAGGGACATAACATATGTTGTAGTTATTAAACAGGTATGCATATACAAGTGCACAATGAACAGTCCTTACAAGTTGTGACATTCCGATATAAGCCCACTTTAGACATGTGGCTGGTTACTATTCCAAACAGGCTCCTTCTCTCTTCCTGACCTTTTTCTTTTGGCTTGAACTTGGATAAGAACCTTGGGTATCTTATTGTACGTCTGTCACTGCCTGTAGCTTCAGCTGATGCAAAGCTGCCACTGAAAATTGAAGTTTTTGACCAATATTAGAAGTCAATAAGCAAGCAGGGCCTAGACACAGTAGAAGTTAACCTCATCCTGTGTTTGATTTTCAAGGATGGACTCCTACTAAGTGCTCAAAGAAACTAGCCAGTGGCCACTGCCGCCATTATTTAATAGAATGGCTCCTTGTTCCAAAGAACACCTGACAGAAAGTTCTTGCCATTTATGTATATTGGATAGTCTGGGAGTCTGAACACGTTCCGTTAGCAGGATTTGTAGAAAGAGCCTTGATTTTAGTTTTGAATATTCAGGGCCTGATTTTCACTGGTAAGAATCAATACAGGGCCTGGCATGGAGGCACTTTGGGAGGCTGAGGCGAGAGAATTGCTTGAGCCCAGGAGTTTGAGACCAGCTTGGGCAACATAGGGAGACCTTGTCTTTAAAAAAAAAATTGAAAAAATTAGTTGGGTGTGGTGGCATGTGCCTGTAGTCCCAGCTACTTGGGAGGCTGAAGTGGGAGGATTGCTTGACCCTGAGAGGTCAAGGCTGTGGTGAGCTGTGATTGTGCTACTGCACTCCGGCCTGGACGACAGGGTGAGACTCCATCTCAGAAAGGAATGAATTGTTTTTGCTGAATGGAGCTAGCAATGTAGTCCTATGTTGGATGTACTCCTATACTGGATGTACATAGTAACTGCTTCCAGAGCTCCAGCAGTGGGTACGGATCTTGATTTCCCCATGCAAATGTTTGTGACGTTGCAAGACTTGCAGGCATGAAAACTTGGGACAGAAAATAGAACGATTTCATCAAGAGACTCATTGCCCCTGTGTTGCCTTTCTTAAAAACACAAATATTATAGTGACGTTGCTCAGAAAGTTTCATCACAGTGCGCGTAGAATAAAATACACACTGAGCCTGGCGTTCAGAGGCCCGTCTTCCTGTTTCTCTCTCTGCCTTCCTGTTTCTCTCTCTGCCTTCCTGTTTCTCTCTCTGCCTTCCTGTTTCTCTCTCTGCCTTCCTGTTTCTCTCTCTGCCTTCCTGTTTCTCTCTCATTCTGTGCTCCAGAAAGGCTTTCCCTGCCTTCCACACCGTGGCTCCAAAGCTTGCTGCTTTTGGCTCCAGCTCAAATATTCTCTCTGCCAACACCTTACTGGTCCTATTGTTGGAATCAGTCTTTTTCTCCACCTCTCTTGTATGCCTGTATCGTTTTGTTTGTGCTACAGCATTTCTCACAACCTGACATGTGTCTGCCTGTCCTGGACCCCACCTCTCATCTGCCTAGATGGGAGGCTGCGAAAAACAGGAACTTTTTATTGTATCTTTTGCTGGTTGACTTGAAAGGTACATATCTACACAGGTGAAATTAAATTTGGGTCATCTGACTTGTGTTTGTTTAATAAACTTGGTGAACAAATGCGTAAACAAAAATACAGCATATCCATACAATGGAATATTATTAAGCCGTGAAAAGAAATAAAGAACTGATACAAGTTGCAGCATGGATGAATCTTGAAGACATGCTAAGTGAAAAAAGTTGCAGAAATCCACACACTATACAATTCCATTCCTTTAAGTCCAGAATAGGAGATTCTTTTTTTTTTTTTTTTTTGAGACAGAGTCTTGCTCTGTCTCCCAGGCTGGAGTGCAATGGTGCGATCTTGGCTCCTTGGTTCACTGTAACCTCTACCTCCCTGGTTCAAGCGATTCTCTTGCCCCAGCCTCCCAAGTAGCTGGGATTACAGGTGTGCGCCACCATACCTGGCTAATTTTTTTTTTTTTTTTGAGTAGAGATGTTGTTTCATGATATTGGCCAGGCTGGTCCTGAACTCTTGACCTCAAGTGATCTGCCCACCTAGGCCTCCCAAAGTGCTGGGATTACAGGCGGGAGCCACCGTACCGGGCCCCAGAAGAGGGGATTCTTGAGACAAAAAGTAGATTAGTGGTTGCTTAGGGCTGGGGAATAGAGGGTGGATGCAGGAGTGGTAGCTAAAGGATAAGGGGTTTCCTTTTGAGGTAATGAAAATGTTCAAAAATTGACCGTAGTGTTGGTTGCATATATCTGAATATAAAAAGAAACACTAAATTGTCTACTTTAAGCGGGCAAATTGTATATGTATGAATTATATCTCAAAGCTGTTGAAAATTGAGCCCCTCCCTGCAAATGATAGTATTGAGAATAATACTAGCAATTAATAGTCATTACTTAGCCTCTTAGGCTTATGCTAAATGCTTTGCATACATTATTTACCTGTTCCAAGAATCCTATGAGGATAGTATTATTGCAAAAGTTTTTTTTTTTTTTTTTTTTTGAGATGAGGTCTCACTCTGTCATCCAGGTTGGAGTACGGTAGCACGATCTCGGCTCAGTGCAACCTCCACCTCCCAGGCTCAAGAAATCCTCCAACCTCAGCCTCCCAAGTAGCAGGGACCACAGGCGTGCACCACAAGGCCTGGCTAATTTTTTGTATTTTTGGTAGAGATGAGGTATTGGCATGTTGCGCAGGCTGGTCTTGAACTCCTGAGCTCAGGTGATCCACCCACTTCAGCCTCCCAAAGTCCTGGGATTACATGAATGAGCCGCTGTGTCTGGCCAATTTTGAATCATGTTTAAACAAATTATTTCTAAATTTTACTGAGGAGAAAACCATGCCTTAGTAACAACTTACCTTGTGTTAAACAACTAATTAAGTTCTGAGACTCCAGAACTGTGTGACCCAAATCCCCTTAACAGCTGTACTGTACAATTGGAAAGTCCACAGGATAATTTCTTTATAGAGGGCGTGACAAATGTGCCTTGACTTTTCTTTCTTTTCTTTTTCTTTTTCTTTTTTTTTTAATACCAGGGTATTGCTCAGTCGTCCAGGCTGGAATGTAGTGGTGTGATCATGGCTCACTGCAGCCTCAGCCTCCTGGGCCTAAGTGATCCTTCTGTTTCAGCCTCCCAAAAAGCTGGGACTGCAAGTGCATGCCACCACACATGGCTAATTTATTTTTTGTAGAGATGGGGTCTTGCTTTATTGCCCTGGCTGGTCCTGAACTCCTGGCCTCAAGCAGCCCTCCTACCTCGGCCTTCCAAAGTGCTGGGATTATATGCATGAACCACTGTGCCTGGCC